GGGGGTCGTCTTGGGTGGCACTGTGAATCGTGCTGGATGTGTAGTTAGCACCCCACGTTGAGCCAGCTACGTGACGGAAAAGGTTTAAATCGAGTGTTGACAGGGACTCCAGGTTTTGCTTATATGTCAGTTGACGGTCCAGCTTCACTCCGAGGTAGGTTGGCGTTGCATTATACGTGAGAGGTGTATCATCGAGATTGATAGTGAGCTGAAGGTTGGCAGACATTGACATCTTTGGAATAGATTGATTGGTGAGGCAACAGGAGTAGAATTCCACCAGCCACTGTCAATATCTTGGCCCAAGATGAAGCAAGAATTCTTGGAGAATGTTGTCAGGTCCAAAAGCCTTGCCACTCTTGAGTTGGGCCATTGCTGCAGTTATCTCGTTGAGCGAGAAGGGGCCTGATAACCACCCACTACGCCTGGAGCTTGCCACAGGTTGGTGGTTTCTTGTTTCATAGAACGGAAGTTGTTCTTGTCGCCATTGTTGAAGTGGCCATTCAAGACGAGTTGCTGAGCAATGGAATTAACTGTCAAAGGACACGTTTGGAACTTCTACCAGTGAGGCAGTTGAGAGTTTTCCAGGCAATCGTACTGGAGTGTGTAAAGTCTATTCCCTGAACTGTTTTCTCCCATCGCTCCCGGCACTTCTTATCGAGGCAGCTGGTCAGGTCAGAGGCTTTTGACGATGACTTCTCCCCAGGGTTAGCGTGTAAGAACTCATCATAGATGTTATCACATTCCTCATGCCAGGTAGGGATGTAACGTCGGCAAAAGCTTCGTGGGGTCGAATTCTTAGCTGCTCTAATGAGGAGGTTGCAGAACTTTAAGTAGGCTTGGTCAATGTTGTGCTGAGCCAATGTGGGGAGAGGATGTGCGTCAGGGTCTTCTACTAGTATTCCACCTGCCAGAGTGGAAGCTATCAGGCTGCTTGGGGCCATACAGAAGTTGCAGACCAGTTAGGGATGCCCAGTCCTCTAGTGCGGTGCCATCTGAGTTTGTTGCCCTGTAGCCCTATGTGACACTGTGGCAATTGAAACCCCCAGCATAGATGAAGGGTGCCTTAAAGATAAGCAGTGAGTCATCCTGCAGTCGAAATGAAGGGGGTTTATAGATGTTAACAATGGTCACACCTTCAACATAGGTTGCTGACCACTCCAGAGGGGAGTCTGAAGGACTGGAGGCCAGGGCCTTCCATCTGGCGGAATTTTAACAAATGTAGCAATCCCATGGATATCGCCCGTCGTATGAGCAGCTAAAGTGAAGCCAGGAATGTTTAGACGAGAGCTATCAGAAACATGCATCTCCTGTAGAAGAACTGCTGAGACCTTGAGTGTCTGAAGGAGATGTTCAAGGATGTTGATCTTGGCTTTAATGAGATCTTCTACGTTAAGATGCAGTAATGTGGTACCTTCCCGTATGACGTCAGGTGATGCCTGCCCTAAAGCGGGCACGTGTTCTGGGTTGGTCTCAGGTTACAATTGTTGAGTGTCCATTCTGAGGAAATAGTACGTATATCGAAGCTGCTGTTGTCTCAGGTTGATGTTATTTGCCTGTTATCGAGTTCCAAAAACAGTTACCAGGGCCCACCACGTGGAGGTTAACAACATGGACCTCAGGCAGTTACCGTTGAGTTGCCTATAAAGTGTACAGTGCAACATTGAAAAGAAGAGCACTGTTAATACAACATCATGCTTTTAACAAAGACACGTTTTGGTCCCAACTCTTTGTGTTTCTTTCTTTTTCATTGCTGATTGATAATACAAGGTAACTGTTATAACAAGGTAATTTGTCAAATCCGAAAAACCTTGTTATTTCAGTGTTCCACTGTAAAGAGATCAGTGGTGCATACTGCTGGCCTTTGAAATGGCGCCCATAATGCATCTGTTCTAATAACGCGCAACTCGTTCATGCCTCATGATTTTTTACTGAGTTGCTCGTGACCACTTGTTTTGACTAATACGGAGAGCGCTTCAATAACTCGGACAGAACTTCATAATTTACAATCGTGCAGCTGTCTCGAGCGCGCGCGAGCACTTCAGCAATACGGCCGTTTCACAATAATTTGGTCAATCATAGTGCGCGAAATTTGTCGACCAATGCGCGTTTGGAAAGGGTCGACAAATTTCGCGCGTTATGATTGGCCAACATGTTGCAAACTCTTGGTGGCGCGCTATTGTGAATCGCCCGTATTGACTACTGCCTCTTGGTCGAGAAGGAATTTCACGGCCGCACTTCGCCTGTGTAGAACTAACAACATGTATTTTTTTTAGGGATAAATATCATATAATTTGCATGGTTAACTACAACCTCGATCAATTTAGTGGACACGTAGAAACTTACGTGCTAAGGTAAATGTTGGGCTTTACTTTCCTGTTATAAAAAATCCTCCAACTAACTAATTCACCACCAAGAAAAAAAATTACTTGAACCCTCGGCTTGTTGGTTCTAAGTAGGCTATGGCAGAGCTCTCCTGCAAGTCGGCTAAAATAGAAGCTTGGTTGTGTCTTATACTTACAAGTTTGTGTACCCCATTTGTGATAATTGCTTAGAACCTTCCCACACGAAAAACGCCAATGCAACGGTTAAGATACACCCTTTTTATTATAAACCCTAACCTTCCAAGGAAAACAAAATAAACGCCCCATAGTAATGGGTTCTAATTTTGGTCGCCGAATTTGTCTATACAGCGTACTGTTGATCGTGCTGAGTAACGTCTACGTACCTGCTAGGGAAAGGCAAATGCTTCCTGATTGAAGTAACTCCAAGGTAAGTTGTGAAAACTTCAATCGGACAGCATTTTCCTGTCATACGAGTGTAAGACAACGGCGCCAACTACACAAAATATTTCAAGGGAATGAAATTAATTCATTGAAGGAACAAAATCAACATTTTGAGGGAACGAAATAGCATATTTCGATTGAATGACATATTAATTTGAGGGAACGTAATAGTATTTCGAGGGAACGGAATATCTTATTTCGAGGGAATGAAATGATTTCGAGGGAATGAAAGATTTCAAGGGAACGAAATGATATTTCGAGGGAACGAAAAATATTTCTAGAGAACGAAATATTATTTTGAGGGAACAAAAGGATTTCAAGAGAATTGCATAATATTTCGAGAGAACGAAATCATATTTCTAGGGAACGAAAATGATTTCGAGGGAATAAAATAATAATTTGAGGGAATTAAATCTTTAAAAATCCCGTTGTGTCTGTCTCCTTAGGGGCGACGTACAAAGCCGTGGACAACAGCACCAATTTGAAGGAAGTTCTCATTCTTTTCGGAAACTCGAAGAATTTCAATCTTAATTCTTTAGCAGAATTATTTTATACATCCACCAATGACGGACGATTTCAACATTATTGTAAATCATGAAGAAAGCAGCAGTACACACACATGTAGCTCATTCATGTACATGTACGTTTGTAGCGGAACCAGTCGTGCAGTGGATACTAGATTCAATGTTTTCTCCGGTTTTACATAATACAAATTTCGTTTCTGAGCAGCGCAGCCAGCGGTCAGATTGTGGAAAGTTTTCATAAAACTTGAAGACACGGTTCAAAAGTTTCGGCAAATCTACAAAAAATACAGATGCAATACAGACATGATTTGGTAACGGTAACCAATATATATAATTTATTACACACTAAACAAAATAATAGTTTATTTTCAAACTATTTAAAACCGTTAGAGTTGGCCTTTAAGCCTCAGTTTTGCGTTCTGTGAAGGTAGATTAGGGAGCTGAACAAATGAAGATTATAGTGTTTAACGTGTTTTGGTGGAACATTAATACTGCCCACTTTCCGATTGCTGCTACGGGATCCTTCCAATCGGATTTTCATTCTCAAATTGAGCTTTGAATAGATTTTTTTCGTATCAGCATCTTCCCAATTCCTGTGTCTTGTCCTGCTTCGTTTTTTCCCACTTTACTCTACAAAACCCAATTTCTATTTTTGGAGTGAGGAAAAAACAGTCCAAAGACTGAAATTCCTCAACACGTAACAGCACAGTGAGCCTCATAGTCGCATTACCAATCGATTCATGCACCAGGTTCCAGTAAAAAAAAAGAGAGAGAAAAAAAAAGAAAAAGCAAATAGAATATTGTTCTCATCTCCTGATGAGCAAGACGCGTGTTGCCGAAGCGCATTCAAGGGTCACAATCAATTAAAACACACCTTGATTTCCCAAGATCACCTGGGCATTTTTCCCATCCTGGTTGCAACGGAGTCACTCAGTATATTGAAGCTGCTGTTGCAACCTCGCCCTCGTGGATATTTCGGTTCTACTTCGCATGTAACACAATTGGACCTTTTTATGCATGCTGTACATGCGGACCGACTGGGAGCTCTTAAGACTGAAGTGGGGGAAGAGTAGAAGTTGAAGTTCTCCTGACTTGAATAGAATGTTATTTGATCTTGTGTGTTTTCCAGCCATCGTGTCAGACAGAGTCTCATCAAGGTCAAATCTCTGGTCTTTGGGTGGATTTTAAAAAGGACAAGTCGCCTGGGTCTGGAAAACAAGGAGATAATTCTCCTTTTTGTGTGTCATTCGGACAGCGGTTGGCTCTGACGTTGAGATTTCAGACAGTAATTTTTAGCACACTTTCTGCAAGTCACCGTAGTGAAAAAAGCACCACTTCCAAGCAAGTTGGCAATGTTTTTTTTAATCGTCCTGCCATTACTTTCATGCGTTCAATTTATCTGTGTTGGACAGTAATCTCATTTGCCTGAAAACAAAATTTCCAGCGTGCATTGATTCGATCACTTAACGCAATCGTTATGGAGCCATCTTGCCACATCTGTCGGGAAATCTTAATTTCCAGCAAACGCGTCCCTCCCTGCAAGCCAGCGCTGTAGGGTAAGGGGCAAAAATAAAAATAGGTGGCAATCTATTGATTGAATTACGGATAATTTCAGCATCGATTCAACTCCATCTGAGAGCCTTCATGCCTTAGTGTGAGACAGCTGAGCGAATCGTACAAAGGGGAGAGTGCTAGGTGTAGTGATAGGCTGCCTCTCGGTTGGTATCTATACTCCAAACTGTCGATGGACGGCCGAGGTTTTAAACGGGCACAAGTGGATGGGTGAAACTCCTTGCCCTCATCAATCTTAACGCGGCAGACTCGAGATCTGTCACGTCCATCTTCTTCGCCTGCGCTGGCTGGAAGCGAGTCATCACGCACGCGCGTCACATGCCCACCTATTCGGCGCCCAATCCTCAACGCAAGTCCTTATTATCTGTCTTTATAGCCTCGTCGATTCGGGCACGGTAATTTTCACCACTGGAATGTGAGTTTGTACTGCCACGCCGTAACCCGCGTTCTTGCCAACTCGGGAAAAAGGGGTCACTATTACACTATAACCATGGACAGGTTTACCACTCACTGTGTTCTTGCTTTCCTCCTGTTTTTCAACGTCATTCAAGGTAAGATGATGAATAGCGGTGTTTCTTTCCCGAAGTAATTATGCGGTACACTAACGTTTATATATTTTTTTTTTCTTTTTTGTTAGTCTCTGTAAAAGTGAATACACAATGACATCTCAGACTGTCGCTAAATCTCCGACCACTCTTGAGATTCACTGTTCTGAGAAAACTATGGTACTGACTGACCGAGCTGAAGAGTGAATTCCTCCATCATGTCCTTCTAATTTGAGTGAAGTGTTGCAACATGCGTTCTAGAACATTTTCCCATGACACAAGTCATTGGCTTTTTTTAATTCTGCAGTTCACTGAGTTATTTGCATTATATTAGATCCAACGATACATCTATTGTATTTTGGGTATATCTCTACTCATTTAGTGTTTGTGTGTATGATTAAATGTCGTGCTTGGAAGTGTTTTGTGTTTACCCACATCGTACAGTGCCATTTATATCGCACTTTTTGCACTTGTCCATTTATCACCTTAAGTTATTATCACCTTTCATCTCACTAAACTTTGTTTTGCCATATTCACTTATTTTTTTTCCTTTTGATCTTTTAACACACTCTTTGATTCTTGCTTGCATTTACTTGATACATGCAACATGATTGTACCAGAATCAAACGAGATAAATTGAGAATGTTCCATTTCCAAAAGGAATGCTTTACGTTTTGTGACACACCGCCTTTGTAACATTTTAACATGATTGAAATTCAAGATTAGAAACACTGTGTTGCTGCATCAGACAGCGAAGTAACTTTGATTGGCTATTTGATCTCAACGGCAGCTGATTTTTGCCAAGTTTCTTCAGTTTCGACAGTTTCTTCATTATGCCTATTATATTTACGGCACTTTAATTTCCTACGCTTACGGTGTAATAACTCCCTAATACAGCGTTATAAAGCCCTAAGTTCACAGCGTTGGTAGGCTTTGTAACTGTGTTTTAAGGCCATAAACTCAGGGCGTTATGATGCCTTAAGAGGGGGGTTATGATGACGTACGTTAAAGGCGTTATAACGCCGTACAGCTAGGGCGTTATAACGCCCGTCCGTTTATGCGTTATAACAGCTGTGCTTTTATAGGTCGTGATTACCCGCATAATAGGGCATTATAACGCCTGAAATTAGAGCACTTTAACGACATAATGGAAAGCAAACCGTTCTTAGCAGAGATCAGCTACCGTGGATTTCAATGTTTTCAAAGTTAGAATGAAATAAATCTGGCCGTGCCTGTGTCATGTTAATGTGATATCTAACTCCTCTTCACGTGATAATATCCATGCATTTGAGATGACAACTCTTCTTTTCTTCGCACCTTATTACATTAAAAGCACTGTATTTTGTTTGCTTTTCCATATCAACACCATTCTACTACTAACTTCAAATTCTAACATGTATATATACTCTTATATCCCCCGTCATTCATAAGCTAACTACACCACGACGACTTCCTATGGCTGTAAGTTCCTCAAAACGCTTCTAGTCCTCTCTCTCTTTTCTGTTCTCCAAAATCTGTCTTCATTTCCATATCAATCTGCGCACTCCAAGCTTGTTGAAAAACAATTCATTTAGACATTAGATATCACCCATTCACCCCTCTCACTCTGACAAATAAACTATGAAATTCGAAATCATGTGAAGCCAGTATTGGGCTCGTGACAGTGTTCTCTCTTGTTTAGTTGGTAGTTACGTTTTGCTGTAAGGTTGAATTACGTCGATCAGACAATGTCTTAAGACTCTTCAAAACATTTTTTTTTAAATTAGTGACATTTTTCTCAATCTTTGAAGAAGGTATGTGCATGTCAACACAGTGCAAACGCATAACAGCATGTGGAATGTTTCACACTAACCTTAAACCACTCTATCTTCCTTTTTGTAATTGTGTTTTCCCCCGTTTCGTATTGTTATGGTGTGTACATCTTTTAAATTGTGTTATTGGGGGGGTTCTCAGGTTGTCCCGACTTTAGATATTGATCTAAATATTGAATAAGTCACTGTCAATGAAGGTTTTCATTATTACAAATATAACTGCTAAAACTCAGTTTGCGATCATTCAAAGAAATGAAGGAAACAATGGAACAGTACTCCAAAAAAGCATTTTCTCCTTTGCATTAAACCATGCTAAATGCACTATACAGTTATGATTCTCCAACAGAAAGCCCAGTAATTTATGCATGACGTCTGACATCTGTATTATGTACTGATATGTACTGCATGTGTACAAGAGTGTCTGCACTTTATGTGTTTCCAGATATGCACAGTGTTCACTTGTCCCGTGTTTTATTTTTGCACCACTGGATCCTGTATCAAGTTATACAGGCTATAGGCCTTGAACTTGTTCCCATTGGAACCTTAAAAACTGTCCAGAATTCAGCACTGTGAGTAGTTAAAGTGAATTTAATTATAAATGGGTCACATGCGACATCGTTTCTTTGCCATCTGTCTTTGCTGCAAAGCACGGTAAGGCCAAAATGGGGGTTCTGAAATCTATGGGAAAAAATTCCACAATTTTATTTCAGCGCGAAGAAAAAGTGAATTTAGGACATTATAATTGGAAGAAAATTGCTATTGCCGTTACTCTTCGCAAATGTCTCTTGGGAACGTCTGACGGTCTTGATGGTTTCCTTATTAATATTGCCTCAGATTACTGACAAAAGGAGGGTTTGTCAAGCTTGTGAGTTTCGAAGCAATTTAGCGTTGGTATGAAGAACACGTTTCACCCACACAACCGTGGCTCGAGGGCCGGTTCATCTAATGAAAATGGCTTGCTATTTCCATTAACGTAAAAATATGGAAATTCTCAAAATGTATCACTGGATATAAATTTCATCTAAACCTGGCAGGTTTGTCTCAAACAAATCGCATAATGGCATGATTTATGTTGCATAACTGACTGAAAGAGCAGCCACGATCATTTATTATCACGACGTGTCAGCTGCGGCGTCTCCTTGCGCCGGTCGATTTCAATAAGTCTAGTCTTATGAGTCTTGTTATTTGTCAGCTTTAATGTAGGTTTTCCCCAGCCAATTTCGGAAAATTTGGAAATGAATTATAAATAGCAGCATTCGTTTTTGAGCGGTATAGAACGAACTTTCAAATCCCTGTTTCTATCTAACAAATGAAAATTCTATCTCAAGGAGGGTGCATTCAGTCGTATAGAGTCAGCGTTCATTTTCCTGATATTTTTGCACGATATTGAATGCACCTCAGCAATGCTGCATTTGTCTTTATCTGAACTCAATCTGTTTCGGAAAACTCGAATGTGCAGTGTAATTTAACGTATGCCTGGTCAAGAATTAGAATGCGTTTGTGTGCCAATAGAAGTTACATTCTTGGAAGTGTTTAGTTCATTGGTTAAATATTTGAATATAAAACATTCGTGCTCTAATTGGAAACTAACGGCTATTGTAGGGAACCTATAAACACCGGCGCTGAGGGAACCCTCCTTCTTGTGCTGCGTTTCAATCACGAAACCTAAATTTTTGTTAAGTTTAACAAACACACTATAAATGAGTAACATGACATCTATTATCAAAGTGGTGCCATGATTTGTGTAACCTTGTATACTCTAATGAAATTGAACGTATATTTTGCGATTTTAAATTACAGCAAATGGAAATGAAAACCCACTTCCTAGGGGCACGGTAACAGACAGATTGTTAGCAAATAGGAACGCACATTTGTTGTAATTAGCAAGGAATACGTCAATCAGAAATCTCATTAATGAAACGTAATGCACATTCATTTATTTGAAGGATGTAAAATGAAGTTCAATGCTTGTCACTGCGAAAATGAAACCAGGTTTTAAGTTGTTTTCAAAATCTACGCTAAATTGAAATTCTATTTTACAAAATAGATCGCGCATTTTCCGAAAGTGGTCGGGAAAACCTATACAGCAGAGGGACAACCTCATATTGCTGTCAATTCCTCATTGGTGTCATGGGTGACTCACTATGCAGGGAAATCGCACCATCACCGATCGTATTGGCGGGGTATTTCTACTCAACCTGCGCAATCGCGAAATGATTCCAAAGGAGATGGGCATAATCAGGACTGTCAGCCATGCCCTTTCCAGATTGACCTCATCGCAAGTGTCATCCCGATTCCTTTGCTATTCTGCATTCAAATTATAGAGAATGAGAAAAAGAACATGAGGATATGGCTTGAGCAACGTGGAGATTATCAATTTACGCGAAAACGGCCTACCTTAACATAATTAATAATTAATCTTTGGACCTTCCAATTTGGTTTTCGATAAGTCCATATGTCTTAGCCTGCGTCAGGAGAGAATCACATTGTAGAGTGGGCCCTTTCTCGTGAGCTAAGTCCAGATAAAAATGCTTCGTATCTAACGCCCTGTATCACTGTATCCGTTACCCTTTACTCCTTTCACAATGTCGCCTTTTTAGGTGTGTTATGTGCAACAGGAACATATCGTCTGGTGACCACTCTGATGCAGAACTATTCCAAAGTGGTGCGGCCCGCTGAATCACCCACAGATCCTATCGTTGTAAGATATGGTGTCGCCCTTCAACAAATCATCGATATGGTAAACACTTCATTTTAGAATAAATGTCTTAACAGCCCAATATGGAGGAAGCTTTTTGGAGCCCATTTGTAGAGACCGTGGTAATGGATTCCAGGCAGTAACAAATATGGAAGAGTCCCTATGGGACTGTTCACGCAGACCCTATGAATTGCTTATATCCCTACAGGACTATTTCAACTAATAGTGCATAAGACAGGAGACAGGGCGATAATTAACAGGTTTGGAAACTAGGGGATTTGCAAAGTCACTGCTCAGGTAAAGTACGTGCTCAGCAATCAGAGTCTGGCTAGGTATGTTTTCATACCTTTCCTCGGCGTTATATTCAGACTTACGGGCGTACCTTTGCCGATTACAATAGTAGTCATGCTTTTGATTCTTCTACTTTGGCGCTACTTTGTATTGTGGACCAAGGGTAGCTTTGCATAGCGAGCGTATTTCTGGTTTGAGTGTAAATGTAAGAGTTTGCTTGGCATGCCGTATTCGGTTAACTCTTTCATTTACCGTTTTATCCAATTGTTTCTTAGAATTAAAGTGGCAAAAGCTTGCTTAACTCTGACCATCTGAGAGGCCCTTTAAATTTTAGTTCGACTCTATGTGGCCGCACCGTCTCCAATCAAATCCCCCGAGGAAATGAGTAGCCGGCCAAAGAGGATTACTAAATGAGAAGAAATGGCACTGTGCTGAGTCAGTGAAATGGGCCTAATAAGTGCACTCGTAGGCTGGTCAGTCGGAATTATCTGCTTTGGCACTGAGCTTGATGTAATCCCTTAGACATGTGGTGCACTTCACCATCTCAGCCGGAAGCAGTGTTGGAAGTCTCGGGCTGGAACAGTGTAGGAGGAATACCCATACCTACATCCCTGAAGGGGACACATTAGACCTTTTCCTTTCCCTAGAGTTGACTTACTTCCTTGCAAGAATAACCCACGCGTCCCATTGTGCAGGTGGTTGTGGAAAGGCGAAATACTCAGTTACTTTCAAACAGAACTCGATTGGTCATGCAATAAAATTATCCTCTGCCATTGCTATGCCAATTTAAGTAATAACTAGGCCGTGCTATTCAGAGCACTGAGAGTACTTTTGTTCGTAAACTTTGGTAATTAGTTTGGAATAATAATGCCAGAAAGAACTACATATTCTGTTGCTGTATGGAACTAGTCTCAGAGGTTTTATTTATGCCAGCTACGCAGAGAAAGCGACTCTTATCCTCTCCTGCTTAATAAGGGCCCTTATAATTCTGAGGTAAGCGACCTACAGTGCAATTCCCCTGAGGAAGACCGAGGTAGGCCCAGACGGATGAAAAGAAAACCAACGCAAGAATTCACCGCCAATATAAAGCGATGTCTGAAGCCATACTACAGACGCTGCAATTATTGTACTTGGGATCAAAATGCAGCAATTTCCCCGTGAACCGACATATTTGTTGGAGGCAAATTACCGCCGATTCATTTCTCCTAAAGGGTAATACCCATCGCGGGCGGAGCGGACATGCAGTGAGACCTGTGGGTATTCTTCCTTTATATTTTCCCATATCCTGTCATCACGTCCCCCCCCCCTTCAATCTGATCCTTCATTGATGTTTCTCCGCACCTTTATCATTTTAATTACATAGTTTTAACTCCTATTTAAAATATTTCCCCAATGCAGCTTATTAGAATCTTTTCGTTTCCCGTTTTTCTTCCTTCTTATAAAAGCATTTTAGTGAAATTCTTATCGTGCAATGCTTGATTGAAAACGCAAGGCACTACAGCCAATCTGAAACCGTGGGCTTTGTGAATAGCCCATGGCATCTTCGCTGGCGGATTTGTGCGGTAAATTTACCTTCTGATGAATAAAGTCAACACTTCGTCTGCGGAATTTTTCTGATGGAAGTGTTGCAACATCGCGAGAGGCGAGGTATAAGCTAAACACAACAACACCCCTGACGGCAACTGAAAATGCGCATATTTTCCGTTGGGTTGTAGGCTATTCACTGCTCGCCAATACGAAGCCCAACACGAGCCGCCAACACACCGATCAGTAACCTGTCTGCGCGGCACGAGGCGACGGGGAAAAACCCCGATCGAATCAAACTCCAGCAAGGCAATGTATCTGAAACATTTGACGTCACCCCACGCCATCCTTTCCACGGCAAATAAACCTCGAATTACCGCCTCCAGCAGTGCGCTCCATGATTAAAGAAAGCATATCGGGGACCGCGAAGAGAGGGGGAGAGAGGCAGAGAAAGGAAAGGGTAACGATGAAGACAAGAAGAACTGGCACTTTACAAGATTGCGACTGCTGTTCTTAGCAGTGTGGATTAGGAAGTGATGGATTTACCAGCCGAAGAGTGCATACTAAGCGGGAGATGAAGGCCACTCAGGCCCCGTTGCCTGCATTATCCCGTCCCGCTCCCGTTAGCCCGTTTTGCAGGCCAAGAATCACCTATCTTTGCAGTCCTATCTATCAATCCGCTGTTGTTAATCACTCCTCGCTGAAAACTTGCCCCGAATGCCTCACTTGACATTTCCACAAGATGGCCTGTCTGCGTCTTTATTATATCGCCCGTTTCTGTTGCTCTCTCGTTCGTGATTGTAAGAAGGGCAATAACCAGGAATATTCTCAACATTCTGTGAATCATCAGCATCGACAATGACAGAAACTGCCACGTTCACGTTCGTTAAGTAACATTTTGTGCAACGCATGCGAATGATAGCCTCACACCCAAGGCACCTCTTTTTCTCGTATGAATGAATTTCCAATTCTTTATTGCTGTCAGCGGGATGAGGATGAGATAATATCAATAAGGACGTGTTTTGGCACTCAGAGAATTTTGGGAGCATTTGCGAGGGAAATGTTTGAGTAAAAGTGAAATCGTTCATTGTGTTACTTTTGACAAAATGTATACACAAATCTCCCTCAAATCCTGTGTAAAGTCAGCAGGTGCTGCTTTACCCTGAAACGCCCGAAACGCGCATGAAGAAGGGTTCAACATCCATTTATGTAGCATGTTTCATGGAGTATCTTGCTCCTCTCAAAGGAAAGATACTGCAAAAATAATAAACGGCATTTTTCTTCCTAAAAAGATTATCTAGTTTGTTTTTTCATCCGTAATATAATCCTCTCCACTAAGAAAGATAGTACTTGTAATTCCTTTTGCGCCGTGTGGCGCATTCAGTTCCTAAAATAGAGGGAAAAAATATTTACAACATGAATACATTACATAAACTGATCCTACACTCGGGACAGGCCATTTGAAAGATACAGTTTTACGTGTATACCAGAAAGGTCTCACTCTGTGGAGGGCGAAGTTGAAAGAAGGTCTGAGGAAAAAAATCAAATTGATTGTGACAGGCCCATAGTTGTGTTTTCTGTAAGCGGAAAATGTTGTTCTCTGAAAAAGAATGGCACGAAGGGAATCGTTGGTTCCCGGAGTTCACTGCGGTGTGGCGTATGTGAAGTATGAAATGTAAAAGACAAGAAATGAATTCAGCCCCTCCCCAAACCCTTCCCGCCGAGACGGAGAGTCCAGAGCCAACCTCTGCTGGATTAGATCCTATAGGAAACAGTTCTAATGGCTTTTAATTGCCTTGCCCTACTTTCTACAGGACGAGCGGAACCAGATACTTACTACAAACGTGTGGCTGAGACAGGTAAATATTGTGTCTTTCTCAAATAATGTGGTGCATTAATAAGGTCATTGATATGTGAATTACCAGAGATTGTTTATTCTAGTAATTAGACTTACAGGAAGGTTTCCTGATGATTCAGAATTGTGTGTGCTATTTTAAATGTCATAGTCTTAGAACCATTTCGAAAATAATATTCCCAAAGTCTCGGGGGCCCTTCCATCTGAAGTACCCGCTCGCACATTGGTTTTATTTGATGACTCGGCCAGCAGTCCACGAATGAAGAAAGAGTGCGAAAACGGGCGGCATATTCTCCTCTTGAGAAGGCCTCCTATGTGTGAATATTGTGATCAATTTGAACAACCATCATAGTTGACAGAATCAATCTAGACTGAGAACAGAAGTGGAAACGTGGTCAGGAGAAATTGACGGTAGTTAATTAAAAACCTGCGGCATTTCGATCGAGCCTCTATCAGTCAGTTTTTACCGTTGCGCTGCCCCCTTAGCAGCTTTATGCGTTTTGAATTGTTGAGAAGCAATATTGTAAAGCTCCATACAGCTTTGTCATTCAATTTAGCCTTTTACAGTCAGGCTTTAGGATTCCCTTACAAGGATACTGGAATTGAAACGGTATATCTGCACGCTTTCAAGAAAAGCGATTTACTTTTCTGGGACAATGACATTTTCAACATGTTTTTATGAAACAGTCGTCCAAATGTCTGTCTTGAAATGAACTTCGTCAGCTTTACCAGCAAAAATTAAGCAAAAAAATACACAGCATTTTTTTTTTACATTTTCTTCTCTTGGTTATGGGTAAAAAAGGGGGATCGACCTGCAAAGAACTCCCTGTGGACTTGTTCGATGCGCATTTCGTTGGGCTAGAGCTATTCTATGAAAACATTAAGCTCGTGAAGTGCATAAATGACCATATACAGACCGTCATCTACTCGGAAATCATTTTAGAAGTGTGAGGAAGGTTATCCTAAAAGAAGCACAACCGTCAAATCTTCGCTCGTATGTGCACTTTGACGAGAGGGTTTCGGTCACAAAAAAATACATGTGAAATCGAACTGGAAGGAATCCGTACGCCAGGCTCAGGTAGGCCTATGGTTACGGATGGAATATTGTTGTGGCTTGGGCTTCTTATCAATCACGAAATGATGGCAAATTCAGGTCATAAAACTGGAGGTAAAGATTCAAAATCATTGCTTGGGTCAGCACAGGAAAATCTTGAACGAGGGGGCCAGAGGAAGATGCAGATCAAGTTATGTTCTGGGAAAATGCTGAGAGATTGTCGGCTGACAGCGTAGACGGACTGAACGGGAACAGCCCGGGGCCGTTGTCAGGGAATGACCTCAGAGATGTTAAAGTTTTGTAGACCTGAGCAGGAGAATTTTTTTTTCGTGGATGTCACTTCATGAGCCTTGAATTACCAATGTGTGAAATCATGGACGCTGCGGCCGGCCCTTTTTGACACAGAAATTGTGCGGCAATTGTAAAATTCTGACTTCAATTTTGATGATGATAATTAGCGAGGTTGCTTTAGATGACATTTTATGTCCGTCAGGAAAAATCTAAAGCATGAATTTAGTGAGTAGTTTAACGAAGAATGCCTCACAGAAATTGCATGGCTGTGTAAAATGCATGTTGCTGGTTTTCTTCTGTATCTTGTAAGAAGGTAGAATGGTGGTGAGTTGTAATGAGCCTTTTGTGAGTTAAATTTGAGTAAAATCTGATACACGGCGCATAAATATAACAATTTGAATTTCCTCAAATCACTACCTCGTGATTCGGGGCAGGATTTTGCATGGCGACCACCATCTCAGGAATGGACTGGTTCTGTTGTGCCCTTCATATCCATTGAAAACAAAGTGCAAGGCGCCTCTTACGTAACTAAGCAAAAGCTCTCCTCCAGTCTCGAGGCATAGTAACAGTAGTTTTAGTATGGAAAATTGAAATAGTTGTGTTCAAAGGAATTTTAAAAAAATTCAGTGTACCAGATTTTATTTAAAAATCAGTCGCAAAAGGCTTATTGAAATATTACCTAGAAATTAGGTAGGAGACATGATTCAGTCAGCAGACTGTAGAATGATTGCAATTTAAGCACGCTGCATGTAAATGTTAGGCCTACCGGCTTTCAGTCCTGTCAATCAGACCCGCGCATCGAAGGCAATTCTGTTGTAAAACACATTTCTCAAGAGGCAGTTATTAAAATAAAGTCCCATGTTCTCGTTAGACAGTCCACGTCTGTCCAATACACACACAATTAGCCAATTTTTGCCCAGCGAGGCAATCCCAAACACTCTATTGTTTGCAGAGCCGATGTGCTATTGGTCGGGGGCGTCAACAGTTTCCGTGCTTTCAAGTACTTGTCTAATGAATAATGCGTTTGACTACATCGGCGTTTTATTTTCAGCACTGGACTGATGCCAGTCTACGTTGGAACTCGGAGGATTTTGACGGCATCAAGAAGATAACCCTCCCTTCGACAGACATCTGGAAACCAGACATTGTCTTGTACAATATGTGAGTCTGTAGTCCAGGGCCTGCAGTGTGGCTTTCTATATGAAATGTGTGGTCTTATTTCAAATATCTTGGTTTATAATTAATTACCACAGTTCGACCCTCTCCGAGCAGACACCGCCTGGATCTAGCATTTATGTTAGAAGTAATTGAAAAGACGTTCGAGTTTAGTTTCACTTGATAGGGTTTGACGCGCCTAACACCTTAAAGGAGACATATTTCAAGCCCAGATTTGATTAAGTGCATTTAGATTTCCAAAGTTATGTTGGCAAGATATTTAACTGGTAAACTTGGGTTACAGCAATCACACATTAAATTTTTTTCACATACAATGTATTTCGTGTAATTTTTCTCTATTCACAATGTTTGTTTACGGTTTTCTTTGCGCCATTTAGCTGATACCGTTTGATGTAAATTCACGCGTCGTATTTCACTTGCACGATTAGCCTCTTTTATTTATATAACCTGAAAAAAAATATCCCCACGAAAAAGGACTGGTAACTAGATCTCCCAGTTAAGCCTTCAAAACTCAGCGAGATCGCAAATGCCTGAAAATGCCGCTCCGACTGGGCGGAAATCCGACCTGTGAGCTCGATATTACACGGCCCTTTAAGAGGACGAGATCAGCGTGGCACCTGCACTCGAGGCGCGTTCGTAATCGGTACCCGGGTATTACGGATCCATCGCGATGTCGAGAGAGAGACGTCAGTGACAGATGTGTGAAATTCCCCTGTAGGGATCATGTGATTGTTTTGAATCAGATTTCAATTTCAATAGCGTCCTTTTGTGCAGAATTTGTGCTGTAAAGGTCCCTTTCACATCGTGTTTCTGTAAAAACTCAAAATATGGTTGGACCTTTGTTCTTTGCGGCAAAGCCATTTTGAAGCCGCCTTTTTTAGTCTGTTTGGGGGAAAAGCACATTAAACAGTGCATTTTAGATCATGACGAGTAGACAGTAGAAAATTATAAATTGGTCTTATCCAGCCTGTTGCGATAGGAAAATCGGCAAAATTTTTTTTGAAAACCAGACAAATACTGTGACGTTAGGGCAGTTTAACATCTTCCCCCAAAAGACTCTGTGGTTATAATGCTCATGGTGTAATCTAAACTTTAGCCGTACCTTAATGAAGTCGCATGTATGGAAGTTCATTGATATAATGTGCTGGTACTTCCATCGGTTTGTAGCGTAAGAAAAAGTTATCAAACGAAATGGATCATTCAGCCGTCTTACGCAGAGTTTTTGAAACTCTTTGCCTGAACCCTACCCCAACTTGATCCCTAATATTTAATTAGTAAAGTTAATTAAAGTTTATGAGTCATTAATAAGTCATGTTCATGCTCTTACAAGGTGTTGTTAAGAACTTGTGTGGCTAGTGCAAGAATATTTAACCGTTGTATTTTATTCACAGTTTTCCATCTAACTTTGTAGTCCAAGGTTTTCTTCTTATTATAATTCTCATGGCTTGCAAACGGACTCCTATATGTTTAAATTTCTTGTCTTGAAACGTTCTTCACGTTCTTACAGAGCTGATGACAAGTTTGAAGGCATCATGAAAACTAATGCCGAGATCGAAGATAACGGGCAAGTATCTTGGTACGCTCCCGCTATCTTCAAGTCCTCCTGCAAGATCAAAATCAGGTTTTTCCCCTTCGACGAGCAGCGCTGCAAGCTGGAGCTGGGCTCCTGGGCCTTCACTACCAACCACCTGGACTTGGTGAACCGCACCGACGCCGGGGACATTGCAAGCTTCATCCACAACGGCGAGTGGGTACTCAAGGGCATGCCGCTGGAGCGCAAGCTCATCAAGTACAACTGCTGCAAGTACCCGTACAGCCTGCTGCACTTCACCATCATTGTCCAGCGCCGGTCGCTGTTCTACGTCTTCAACATGTTGGTGCCGTGCATGCTGGTGTCGGCTCTGACCATGTTGAGCTTCTATCTGCCAGCTGATGCCGGGGAGAAGGTGACACTGTGTATCACCATCCTGCTATCCCTTACAGTGTTCTTGTTGCTAGTAGCAGAGACCATGCCTCCAACGTCGGATGTTATTCCCTTAATAGGTTAGAATACCAATTGCTTTTTAAGTTAAAAGAAATAGTATCAGTAATAAGTACTTTGAGTTAAGTGTGACAAATGCATGATACTGTCTGCAAATAGGTCTATTAGTGCCGTGAAACTTTAGGTCATCTCGCGAAAACTTCTGACGTTTTGGTAACGGAAATGTGGGCGTGGCCTTTGTATCACAAGTTACAGTGTAAGGGATGTATCACCAAAGTTGGAGTCCTTGCTTACCCGGCTTTAGAATCACCACGAATGAACTGCGAGAAGGTTGACATCCTGAGCTTTCTTTAAAAAAACATGTTTGCTCTTCTCTATCTGTGTTCTGACAAATTGTAAATATAATGACAAGGTCGTCTCATTTCTCTCCTAGCCCAGTACTATCTGACCACAATGATTCTGGTGTCTGTCTCCACACTCATGACGGTCGTCGTGCTTCACATCCACCACAAAGGGGTGTACGCCAGCCGGCCACCGGCCTGGCTGAGGAAGCTCACTGTAGACTACTTGGCCCAGGTGCTGTGCCTCCGGAGCTGCCGAAGCCTTCACGGCGCCCAGACGGTGCCCCGCATCAGCTTTGAGAACGCGCCGGCGATGCGAGAGGTCAACAACACCGTGTACAAGCCTGTGAACATGGACTGTAACCAGCTGGAGATGAACAACATGATGACCAGCAAGAGGGACGTCCTGGGCATGGGCCGGCGGAATCGGCTTCAGCAGACTCTGGACCTGATCGCCATCAACCTGGGGAAGATCGTGGAGAGATACGAGGAGGAAGACATGGACAAGGAGATGCGGTGCGAATGGATCAGAATAGCTTACATTATCGACAGGTTGTTCATGTGGATGTTTGGACTCACCACAGTTATTGCCACCTTATCCATCTTCCTACAAGTCCCGTCATTTGGATAGGACGCGTTCTCAGTCAAGAAAATGTGGCATTAATGGAAAACCTCTTGGTGTAACCTTCTTTAGGACTGACTCCACGCCATATTGGCTTGTTCTTTTCAAAATTGGCGCTTTCATAGAACGGAACTTAAACCAGTACATTCATGTCTCTACAGACTATAGATAGTAGATCACGAATAATGATAATATCAAGATATTAATTCTAGTTTTAAAACGTTCGAGAGGGCCGTAACATCCAAAATACTACAGGCTCTGCATTTAAACCTTTTAAGGACATGGATCATGTCAACGAACAATTAAGACATGCAAGAACAACGGAATCTTCAAATATACAACGTTCTTGGCTTCAGTGGGCAAGATCCACAACCAATTTTTGAGGGGGGAATTTGGTTTTAGCTAGGGAGGGGGCACATAATTTTGAGTTTTAAAAATTACTTTTTATGGCCTTTCTAAGGGATGACGGAGCAACTAAGGGGAAAAATTAACCAAAATATACCCCTCTTAAATTATTTGTGTAATTGCTCCTTTTGGGAGCCCTGACCCCCGTGGGCCCCATGGATCCACCCTTGCCAATGGGCATGATGGAGTAACACACGATTAAAATGATTCGCAGTGAAATCCTCACAAGAAGGACCAACAACCTTCTACCGTATGACCGTTACGAGCAATAGGTAACGATCTCAAACTAAAAGTCTCAGCCGCTGCTGACAAAAGCCTCAGGCTGTTTTGAGAAGGAAAGAAAAATTATGCGTAAATTGATGGGCCGCGCAGTCGCCTCTACTTTTAAAGACTCGTACTAGACGCGCTCTATGTCGCATTTAAAACGCTGCAGGTACATTGCATTAGTTTCACAGACATTGCTGAATGGATTTTTGTAACAGTTTTTCTTTTTAGACTGGAAGCATCTTGTCATCATCTAAGCTGTTGAGAATGTGAGTACAAAACATCAAAACAATTAGCGACTAACAGATTGGTGTCGAATCGGCTGGCCGATTGTAATAAGTGCATATACGTCACAGTCTGTGAGATGCTTTTATGTTTTCCGAATGCTTCCTAGGTAATACTAAAAAAGACAAAACTGTTTTATCTCTGTTTCAATTTAAATGGAAAAATAACAGCAATAGACGATGTCTCCATGTTTCAGTTAAAATACATAAATAACGTAACAGGGTAAGGTATGTTAAATTTGCAATTTATGAAAAAAGCTACAACTTATTCCAGCTTTGGGTGCGTTTTGTATGTATTGGCAATACATTTAGAAAGGCAATCATGCGTCGCGTTTCATATTTAGTCTGATGTTCAATAAGAGCAATGTAGTACTCGAAAAGAATATTTTGTAAAAGAAAAAATCAAAAAGAAGGAAGAAAAAACAGAAATGTAATGCGATTGAACATATATCTTTATATATTAATATACTTTAGCAGTAAAAACTTTGCAGCCATTTAAAATAGCATACGTGTAGTCTAAGGGCTGGGAGGGGGTTTCGCTGCACCCCTGGACCAACTGACAGTGGTATTTTGTATTCTTTGGCATGCCTTAACGCAAAAAAGTTAAAAGAAACAAAATTAGGGGCAGGAAGAAAATTTTGAAGTCCCATTCAAATTTTTGTATTTGCATCTCTAAGCATCGGGTTTCTTATGGGTTTGACTCATTCCCAGCCTACGGACTAATATTGTTACAGTGCTCGCTCATTTTGATCTTTTCCCGGCACTGTTCTCCAAGTATTTGTATTGAAAGTACTTCTAGGTTTTAAACAAATATTTGCCGGTCATTTATTAATTGGTTTATAATTAAAAACATCATTGTGTGATTTATTGAGTTGTTTCAGTCGTTAAAATCGGCATGGTAGACAATTTGCATATAATGCTTTTGATCGCTGTTCGCGTTTGTTATGTTAAAGGAAAATAGAAAAAAATTATACCGAAAAAATGTTTCTGGCATATATCTTTAATTTTTACCGCCGTATATGAGAATAACAAACACTTCTGTCATCAGTTCGAAAGTGTATTTGTTTTTCAACGTCTGTGAGTTTTATCTTTTTCCCTTTTTGTAATAACATCTGTACAGAGATGTACTGATAGCTTATCGATTTCCTGATACTTGCCAAATCAACAAGAGGAATAACAAAAGACAAGTCAACTTTGACAACCTTTGATGGTATAGCAGGCAAAATGCAGACCTTGTGCGTAAAATGACTGTAGCTGTTTTGTTCATGAATATTGGGTTGGATGCAGGACCCAGAAGCCCGTGAAAACCCTTACCGATGGCAAGGCGAAGACTGAAAAAAAATGGTCAAGCCCAAATAATGGTGCCTTTCCAGGATTCCATCCACAAACACACATTTAATAAAAACAGAGAATCTTTAAGAATACAAATGCAGCATAAATTCCGTGCTTGATATGTAACTGGGCTAAACACAACATGTATTTTAATATAGACCTAGAGTGGTTTTGACAGTCCTTATTGGAGAGGGATTTAAACTATTTTAAAGCATAATTAATTTTATATTTATTTTTTAAACTTCTATTCTTATAAATTCCGACAATTGAGAATTAATAATATAATAATAAGAACATAATGCTTTTACAGCCGGGACTGACAGTCCAACGTTGTGTTGATATCAGATAGGCCGGACATGATCTAAATCCCATCAAATTTGCTTCTTGAACACATTTTTAAACACAAAAATTCATACCGGTACACATTTTAATATTACTGAGGTGTCACAGAGAATGAAATTATTTGACAACCGTATAAATGGCCTGCCAAAAGCATACCTCTGTCATGAATTTTATTTTGATCGTGCTGTACCCCATGCATGGCGTAATACTTTCACCTTTTTATCGAATTAAATGCTAACGCTACGCCTGTTCTGTCCTCAGCCTTGTAAATGTTTACAAGGAGGTCGCAAGGAGACCCTTTGCTCACACTTCAAGCAGCAAAGGTATGCGCTCATGCAAGAGTGTAGTAGATTCGCGGTGCCATCTACACGTGTCGGCAGCTTTGGTTAATTTTGACAGGAAAAAAACGCATGCAGTCTCTTCTGTGTGAATCCTTGTGTTTTGTACCAATCACCGCAGCAGCTGGACCTGAAGTGCGGGGTCAATTTGCCACGAGAGTGTCGGTTTTCTTTGGTTTAGGCCTATTTGGGCAAGGATTCACTGCCACAGCTTCATAGGGCTATTACAAAGGTACGCTTTTGGGCAGACGAATTATTATAAAATGGGAATGCTCCTTTCAATGCATTTCTCAACGCTTGGCAAAAGAATCCTGCCGAAAGTAGAGTACGCGATCTGCTCATATTGGCCCATTCAACCACTTGTGCAATGCTATGAAAAAAAATAAGTGTTATCTTGTAATTTTGCACGGGACTTTCCAAGGCGATGCATGAATTCAGTAGAAATTGATACCTACACTTCACTGAATTTTACCCTTTGCATAAGTGTTCATTTACTGCTAAATACAACGGCTCATGCGCTGATCTCCCCGTCATTATTTTAAACAATGTAAGACTACATATAAAAGCAACTTCTTGTCCAAGTCCACTACACTGACAGACTCTGCCGAACCTACACTGGACGAATAATTAGATCACTGCGCTATATGTTCTACGTACAGCACCCAAGCTTAAATTGTTATACCTCCTACCACTCGTGCAAAGACAAAACATTATTTTCACACCATTGCATCGACAATTAAAGAGAAGAGGGATTCCAAGGCCAGTTGTACTTTTCCCTTTAGCTTCGAGGACTCCCCGCATAATTTCTTTCACCGCTGCCACAGGAAACCTCGTAATGGCACCATGCTGTAACTTAATCGCGTGTTGCTGTAATGTGGTATATTAAATAAAACGGGAGACTAGCCTGGTGCATTTTGGGTGCGTCAGATTTTTTCTGTAGATGGAAGGGTCAAAGTCTGACGCCTTGCAGAAGGGCAGACAAAATAATGTCACATGCCTGTGGCCTTTCCTGCTCTTCTCTTTTCCTTTTATTTCTTTTTTCTGATAGACTATTGATCAAATTTACCCATTACATGTATTACTTTGACTCTGATGTATGAGAACGTTAGCTCATTCTTAAACTCGAAACCCAGTTTTGGGCAGATGTTCGTCGCATAATGAGAAGGGTAGTCTCTGCATATTGTGTGCTTCGTGAATGTACCAACGTACGTGTCAATAATATGGTACTAGGATTTTAGTGAAAAATTAAATGTTGTGTCTACAATTTTGGATGAAGTTGCTGCTTGATTCAAGTTTAGCAGTTAGCAGTTTTGGGGATTTCTGTCTTTTTTATTTCTTCTGCCGCTGCTTCTGCTATTGAAGCTGTTGTTGGTGAGTTGCTAGCCTTTATTATTGATTTGCAGTCACGTTCGCCGTTGACATCACTGTCATTGACGTTTTACTGTCTGTCGTTGTCAATCTTATCGTCTTAAAATCATGGCGTCTAGTCATATTTCACATGTTGTTTGCCATATATTAATTCTCTGAAAGTAAGACCATCATTTGATATTATCGATTAATATTATACATATATCAACTGGCATCTTCGAGACCCTGTTTCTTCAGTCACCCAAAGTAGCTGTTTCTCGCCACCAAAATGAAGAAGGCAGTTCTGAGACTACAGCATTTTAAAACTAATGTTGGAAACCTACCAATAACATTTTAACAATCATGGTGAGGATGAACACAAAAAGTATACAAAGAAGGCTTTCAATGTGCAGACTAGGAGATCACTGCATCTCTACATCCATTTCTGCTTTTTGACTATAACTAAATCAGTTCACACTTTATTTAGAGACGATTTAAACTGGCGAACCATTTTCCAATGATACCATCTTCCAAGTGCTACGCAAATTACAAATCAGAGGATAGAGTGCGTAATATGACTGCATGCTCTCGTGGTTGCAACAATATTCGAACAGTTTCGCGTTTGACTTATCAGACGCATTGCAACAGCCATGTATCTCACTCATCCAAGAAAGTGAAGTATAGCGGAATGACAGAAACCCTTGCTAAATTGAATAACAGCTCAAATTCAAACATTTAATTTGTTATGCATAAACACACACATCTTCAGTTGAGAGAATCTAATAATAAATGGAATTACACCGGTTGAAAGCTGTCGATTTTTTCCCCGTTCACGCTTCTATAAATTTACATGATAAGGCAAACGGCTGGCTTTTCCAATGAAATGTTAGCAGACAGCCCCAGTTCTTGTTTGAGGAAAAAATGTTCTTTTCAATCAAATCTAAACTCCAGTTGGGAGCAGTACTCGGACTTCGACATTCTCTTTTGTTTCGTGCAAGCACTGCTTGACAATGGAACCATTTTGAAAGGATGTTATTATCCACGCAGGGTGGATGCTGCCCACTTTGGTTTGGCTGCCGTTGCTTGATTTCAACTGAACTGAAATAAATTAGAGATAGGACCAGTGATGTTTTTTTAATAAAAAAACACTCATTGTCGTCTCTTCTTTATACTTTGACTAACTGCATTTTTACGTGTATTCCTTTTCAAATATTGGTTGTACATAAATTGGTTACGGATTGGATGCGCAATGAAGGTCGTTAAATCATTTCCATTTACACTTTGATCCGAAATACCACTTTAACTGGTTCTACAAGGATTTCTTAAAAGATCTATAAGATTTCCCCATGGAATGTGGTTTCATTTAGGACTGGAAATTTTGTAGAGCTAAAAAAATCTGGACTTTTAATAACACCCTAAAGCCACCGTGTAAGTATCTGTTCTAAGTTATGCTGTCTAGCCGTCCTGTGCAAGACGGTGTTTGTCGTTTGGCTATGCCGCATTATGTTGATGATCTTCTTTATATCCTAAGTTGAAAAAGTTGTTCTAGGCTCGAGGGGAAAAGGCTTGCTTCCTGGGATGTTATTTTGTTCAAATTATAAAGCTTTACATTCGCGTGTTCCTGCTTGCCGTGGGTATGTGCATTTCATGTTAACGCCAAATACCGTCCATATATCGATTAACAAGCACTTTAACAAATTACAATGAGTGGAGAATCAAGCGGCATTGCGAATACTGAAGCGTCGACCCCCCCTCCCCACGCACACAAAACGTCTGCCGCCAAGAAGCCTCATACCATAGAAGCTTTAAATACGCCCCTGAAGCAAGCAATCTGTGACTATCGTTAAATTACAGTAGAGAATCTTTGTACTGAAAAAAATTTAACCTGAAAAGCATTTCTTTGTGGAAAAAGGCTATGCAGTAGAGGCAAAATGTTGACTGGAGAAACCCCCGGCTTAAGGTCTGATTGCTCTGGTATGCACTTAAATGTTACAGAGGGTCCGAGCTTACTTGTTATCGGGGAGAGGATGACTTGTCCCGGCCGGAAATCAACCCCCAGCGTCGTGCTTTACAAAACTCTGCTCAATCGATCTCCACCGATTCTTCCAATCTCAACCCTTGTTCATGGGTAGACAGTGATGCCAAAATAGACCTGAATGGGATAAAACACATTATAAGAAAGCAAAGGTTTAACTCGTTGAACAGCAGTCCCCAAACCGGAATCTCTCTTGCCGCTGAGAGGAAAGGCCTTAGGGTGGTAGGTTTTTTCCACTTTATTTTTGTGAAACTGGAGGCCGCAGATAACATTTCAACCCTTCATCGAATGTGATAGGGGGTTGTGTCTTAATCATCCCGATAATGCAAGATAATCCTTCCGGCGCGTTGATGCGCGGGGCTGCCGCCAGAAACGTAAAAATGCTGACGAGTAGATGTGACTGCGGGAATTACAGCAATTGTGGAAAACCAGTGCCAAAATGCACCTCCAGTATAGTCTACTCCGCACTTTTGCAGTTATTTGAACTTGATAATCCTATCTTTTCAGGAGACGAGCAGTAAGAGGAAAGTTAATTAGAGCGAAAGGAAAAGATCACCTTGGGCTATTTGTTCAAAGATGGCTCTGTAATTGATCACGCTGCACCCCCTTTCTTATTATTATAATTCGATCGAGATGCATTGGATTTAATGCAGGAAGTATATTAGGCTTGTCAATGTTGTCATAGTGTGTGCTGCTCAGGATAATGTTTCTCTTCCGTTATTAGGAGTGATATCAGTTTCTCACTAAGAATCCCGAAGGAGTAGCGTAATGTTGTTGAGGC